CCTGTCACTGATGGTGCTGGTGATAAATGAGACAGGAACCTTCCCCTCCATCCCCAGGAGGCTCTTCTGAACATTGTGCATTGGGTTCTTCTTCTTCTTCTTCTTCTTCTTCTTCTTCTTCTTCTTCTTCTTCTTCTTCTTCTTCTTCTTCTTCTTCTTCTTCTTCTTCTTCTGTCAGTCTTCATTTTTTAGCCATTGTAAAAAATGAAACAGGAGACAAAACATGCAGTCAGTGTTCTGCTCTCTCTCAATTTTTTTCACAAGAAACAAGTCTTTCATTATGTTTAAGCAATATGGGAAGCCCTCAAGGATTGGGTTGACATTTTCTGGGCCTCATAATATAAGGTGGCCTCTCTTTTCCCAGCTTTTGGGTAAACACTGCAAAAAAACATAGTCTAGTGTGTTTATGATGATCCATCCCCATCATGACTTGTCCTTCAGGAATCTGTCCAATCCCGTTTGAAAGGCCTCTAGGCGAGATGCCATAACCACATCTTGTGGCAAGGAGTTCCACAGATTTACAACCCACTGGGTCAAGAAATAGTTTCTCCCAACACTCAACTGGAATGGATGTCCCCTGGTTCTGGTATTCTGGTATCTGTCATGCAGTCCTTTATTCTGAAGGGAAGAGGAAGGCCAGCCCCCCGTCTCTCCCCCCCCCCACTCAGGAATCTTTGCAAGCTGCTCTTCTACCAAGTGAGAACTTTGCTCCATCTCGTCTCATAGGGTCAACTCTGGCTGGCAGCATCCAGGGCTCTCCCAGCATTTCCGACACGATTATTTCCTCACCATAACCGGGGAGATTCCTGGTGTTCCCTGAGAATTTCCCATCTGTTAACCAGGACCACCTCTGCTTGGCTTCCAGAATCCAAACAAGGTGGAGTTCATGCCACAGTGTGATGGGTCTGTCATTATTGGTACAGCCGGGACTTTTACAGCGCACTTTTTAATTTTTTATTTATTTATTTGATTTATACCCCGCCCAGTGGGGTTTGCTCTTTGGAAATCTTGCACAGAGCTGCAGCTTTTCTTGATTAAATAACCCGTTGAATAGATTTAAAGGTACTTTTCCTGAAAAGAGCCACGTTGCAGACAATAACAGATTCACGACAGCATGGATTATAAACTCCAAGAGCTCACACTGTGATAAAGGTGGTCGTCCTAAACACAGCGGTGTCTTGTTCTGCTGCAGGTTGACACCGCCGGCTGTTTTACGTGCCGTAAAGTCACGTCTGACTTGGTAGCAACCCACAACAAGGCTGCACCTTGGACCGTTTGTCTCAGAGAAAGCAGCAGGATTTATAAGTACTGTACTAATATTGTTGCAATGCTTTGAAATATGGCCTAGTGTAGGAAATGTCTGGAAGGGGACAAGTAGGTGGACGTTTCTCGGAGGATGTGCAGCAGCCTGTGGCGGCCACATCAAAACCCGCTGGTTTGCTCCCTGTCCTCGCCTTTCAGAGTCTTGTTTTTTCTCGTGTGCCATTAGGCAGAGGTGGTTGAGTGACTGGAACATAGAATGAAATACTGTGTTCCCCCCCCCCAAAAAAGACATGGCCACATCAAAAACCGCTGGTTTGCGCCCTGTCCTTGCCTTCCAAAGTTTTGTTTTCCTCATGCGCCATTAGGCAGAGGTGGTTGACTGACTGGAACATAGAATGAATTGCTGTGTTTCCCCGCCCCCCAAAAAAGACAAGGTCTTATGTTAATTTTTGCTCCAAAAAACCCATTAGGGCTTATTTTCAGGGGCTGTTTCTTTTTTTCATGTACAACCATGAACGTTTATTCAAATACAGTCCCGTCCTCTTCTTCTGGTTGCGGCACAAGGGTGGAGGGTGGGGTTTCACTTAGGTGGGGGGGATTTTGAGAAATGTAGTCCAAAAAGTAACATATTTGTTTTCTGGTGTGCACATTGCACGTGCTTGTACATTTCAGAGTGAAACAAGATGTAGAAAATAAGGGTGGTGTTGTATATTTTTCTGCATCGCATTTCACTCCAGTCCACGAAGGCTTATTCCCAAAAAGAAAGAAAGAAAGAAAGAAAGAAAGAAATAAAGAGGAAAGGAAAGGAAAGTGTGCCGTGAAGGCGTCGCAGGATGCACCTCAGCTTTTCTCTTTTCGGTTGAGAGGTGTGTCCATGACAGTGGGGGCCATCATCTCCACACACCTTCACAGAAGGCATTAAAAGGCAGTGAATGGATGGACGCGGGCCTGCCAGCTGCCCCCTGCCAGGGTGGACCCAAAGAGCAGTAGGTTCACTGCTTGTTTCTAGAGAGAGTTTGCACTCGCTTTGGTGCAGCAGCGATATTTTTCATCCTTCCGATCGTCCGTCCGTGCTCATCTGCATCGTTGCTTTTTGCGTGCCTCTTGCAGTCCGGGTTTTCCTGCAAACTGCCGTGCTCTGGACGAGTCCCCAGCTCTCCGTGGGTCTTGCAGGAATGTCCTGATGATGTCCAGTGTGATGAAGGCACGGGGGTCCTGCCATGGGGGGGGGCAGGCTGAACCTCTCCAACCCCCCTCCAAATGCCGCCTGCTGTCTCAGAGGGTGCAGAACCTACTGGGATGATTTCCCCTTGCTCACGCATGACACCCCCCCTTCATCTCTGAGAACGGCGTGTCTTTCTGCAGGCCTTGAATGGAAGAGGCAGCTGTTACGCAACTCTTCCCGAAATGGGCACAGGAGCCGAGTAATCGGAAAGCAG